GTATTTGATATAATTCTCAAAATAAACATAAGCGATAGCATTACCTTTACTTAGGTGAGGAAATTGAGATTTATAAATGTAAAGTAATATATTTCTGGCCACTCATTTTAAAAGTGGCCAAAATTAGAGTCAAATCCAACATTGCCAGACTCCCAGTCCTTTGCTTCATGCTAGTTCTTGTGTAACAGTCTATGAATCAAATGCGTTGACAGGACTGTCATTGTAACTACACCTGGGCCTATAAATTCACTTGTAGTCTTTGCAGTTTTAATTTCACTCTTGATTTAAACTCGGAATTGATTTTTCGCATTTCCCCAGGCTACATTTGGCCAGCTTCAAATAAGAGAAACATACCACTTGGATTTTAGGTGGAAATCATTCAGTTTCGTGGGTACAGTCTTATTTTGTGCATTTAGTGGATGTTATCCTCCATCATGTTCATAATTCTTTTATTGGCAGAGGCAGGGTGGAGTAGATTATCATACACAAGTCATGCTTATTCCATGGCAGTCATCAACTCACAACAATTAAGTGAAATGGAATTCTTTAGAGTTGGCACAACTATTTATTTGTTTCCAAGTTCAACTGGAAAATTTAATGAACTAACAAATATGGAGGTGGAAACAATGACATTTTGTAAGATGACAATATGCCCAAACAATGTCTTGATGACACATTCTGCATCCCTGTAACTGGAATATTTCCAAATTTTAAATATTAAACCAGGCCATGGGGCACATAATTGCCCCTCTCCACTTACCCGGATATGTAGATAATGTGATTTTTTTCTAGGTTTGCCTGCTGTTTCCTAATACTCTAGCCTCAATAAAGACATCAAAATGAAAATAAAGCCTAAGAAGAGAGAGAAGAGAGGGTAGTTCTTTTAAAACATTGGTTCCCGATGTACTTCCACAGGAAAAAGAACTATAAAATGTGTAATCATATTTAATGAGAGGATATAGTGTGTGATTTCAGAAAAAAAAGAAACAAAAGAAAATAGGTCCTAGAATTTGGGCTTTGATCCAGGCTTGTTTTGTGTGGGACCCCTTTGCCTGAGGATTTAATAACAATAAAGTACTACAACTAACTTTATTGGTAGAGGAACATCACCAGTCATGGGCTCATTTCAGCTGGCCCTAGAAGCTTCTCAGGCATTTTGGAAACAACCCAGAACGTCACAGTGTGAAGAATTCTGTATTTGTGAGCTCTCAGCTTGGTTCTCTGGCTATGTATTGACATCAGCACCAAGTGAAGCTGGTCCAGAGTGTGAAGCCAGGCAGTACACCAGACATGCAGTGAGAACAGCACACAAATCCACACAAAGATGAACAGTGGCAGTATCTATACATCACTAGATCATGCTGCAGTCTCCTCCAAAGCCAGGGGACAAGTGATTTCACCATTTTTCTCCTGGCACTTTGTCCTGTGAGAAAGACTTTGTGAGTGCAGAATCACAGTGAGGAGGCCAGGGTTGGATGGGAAAGTCCATGAATTAGTCAATTTTCTGCTGCTATAACAGACACTAGAGAGTGGATAATTCATTTAAAAAGAAGTTTATTTGGCTTATGGTTCTAGGGGCTGGGAATTCCAAGAGCATGGAACCAGCATCTGGAGAAGGTCATACCAGGGCAGGAGGAGGAAGAGCAAGTAGGTGCGCTAGATAGAGAGAGGAAAGCAGGCCAGGGTCATCCTTTTATCAGGAGCTAACTCCTGTGATAACTAATCCACTCCTGCAATAACTACCTAACTCCCGTGATAACAGCATTAATCTCTTCATGAAAGAGGAGCTTTCATGACCTAATCACCTCTTAAGGAGTCTACTTCTTAATACTGTTACAATAGCAATTAGGTTTCCAACACATGAAATTTGGCAGACATATTCAAACCATAGCAGCTCCAATTTGAAGAGTCAGGTGTAGAGTTCAGGAATAGATGGGGTCAGTGGCAGGTGCTTAACTCAGGAAAGAAGGATTTGTTTGAAGCCTGAAAGAACACGGCATGAAGAAGTGCCGAGATTCTAAACCTTGAGTATAGTATGGTAAGAGTTGATATAACATGTGCAGCTTACGTCAGAGAATCCCTGTAAAGACATTTATTCATTCAGGTAACAGGTCCTGTGGTGTCAACAATGTAAGAAGTGCTCCACCAAGTGCTGGGGAAATAGCGGAAAGTCAAATGATAAATCAATGAAGAATATGGTCTTCTGAACCAGTGGAGCTTATAGTATAGTGCAAGACTTGAGCTAATGACATTTAATTTGAGACTAAAAAAAAAAACGAAAAGGTCAGTGGGTCTTTAAAAGAAAAGTAGGAGAATAATATTCCAGAGAGAGAAAGAGAACATGCGTCCAGACTATAAGGAGTTAAATGGTAGACAAAATGAAAGCAACAGGAAAGTGGTTGGCAAGGGTGAGCAGTGTCCTATTGGGAGGATTTTTAGATCAAGAGTTTTAGGTATTATTATACGTATAATAGGGAGACTTTAAAAGTAGAATACACACACGTATATGCACACACATAATATATACTTATATCGATACATATATATGATTCAATGTATGTATTAAAAAGTTTATATTGCCTGCCACATGGAGAATTGTTTATGGGAGCATAATCATAATAGGGGGCTAAGATAAAAAACAATGTTTTATTTAATATTCTGTATATTTTATATATTCTCTATATATTCCCTATTTTTTTGTCCCCCAGGATTAATATTTTTGCTGCTACAATGGTCATAAGACAAACCACCAATTTACAATGAATAATGTTTTACATTTTTAACATAAATATTTACCTGTGAAACCATCTCTGTAATTAAAATAAGGAATATATCTGTAACTATGAAAAGTTTCCTCATGTCACTTTTTAATTTCTTTCCTCAAGAAAGACACCCTCTCCCTCCCTACTCCTGGGTGTCTGCATACGTGCTTCCTGTCATCATATATGAACCTCTATTTTCTATAATTTTATAGAACTGGAATTATACAACATGTACCCACTTTTTGTCTGACTTATTGCACTCAACATAATTATTCTGAGATTCTTCTGTATTGCTGCTTATATCAATAGTTCATTTCTTTTTAATGTTGAGTAATATTCCATTGTTTAGATATACCATAATTTGATTATCCATTTACCTGTTGGTGGGCAGTTGGGTTATTTCCTTTTTTTTTTTTTTGCTATTTCAAATAAAGTTTCTGTGAACATCTAGGTACACGATGAAATTATGGCTTCATTAGTCTTGGGTAATGGAATGGCTGAATCATAAGGTAGGTGTGTGTTTAACTTTCTGTGAAGCTATTCTTTCAGGTGGACATATAATTTTACATTTCTGTCAGAAGTACATGAGAGTTCTAGTCGATCCACATCCTTTCAACACTTACTATGGGATCCTTTAATTTCAGCTATTCTCATGGAAGTGCCATATATCTCATTATAGTTTAGTTTGCAATTTCATAATAAAAATTACATTGACCATCTTTTAAGGTACTTATTTGCCATCCAAATATCTTTGGGGAAGTGTCTATTAAAATATTTTGCCCATTTTTAAATTGAATTGCTTATTATGGAGATGTAAGTGATTCTTACGTATTGTAGATACAAGTCCATTATTGAATATGTATTTTATAAATGTTTTTCTAAGACTGTGTTTTGCCTTTTGATTTTCATAATGGTGTCTTTGACTAGCAAATGCCATTAATGTTGATGACTTCCATTTTATTAATTTTTAAACATTTTATAGTATGTATGTTTTGTATTTTATTTAAGAAATCTTTGGCAAACCCATGATATTAAAATTTTCTCCTATGTTTCTTCTAACTTAATAGTTTGAAATTTTCCATTTAAGTCTATTATCTTTTTTGTGTTTATATTTATATAAGGTATGAGGTAGGGTCAAGGTTCATTTTTGTGGATAAGGCTATGCCATTGTTGCAATTTCATTTTTTGAAAAGACTCTTTGACCATTGAATTACTTTGGCATCATTGTCAAAAATCAATTCTCCACATATGTGTAGATATAATTATAATTATCACCCCCAGTTCCAAGCTGCTCAAGGAGGTAGAGGTATGGAGAAGGCAGTTTCTTGGGTTCATATATATTAATTTTGCCAAATGGATAGAAGAGAATTAATGCATGCATTGGAGATATTTACAAGAGAGTAAATAACTGTAATGGATGATGGTCTCTGTGCATATAAGCAGAAAAATAAAGACAAGAGGAGGATAATTAACAAAGATAAATTGCTGGGTTCTATGGATACAAGGGTCTTGATGAGATGGAAGAACTGTTTCTGTCAACATGTTTCAGGAAAAAGGTTCGAGAGTATAAGTGTAGTGGCTCAAGAGTGAAATCTTTGTTTTTGAGTTATTGTCATTTTTGCTCTGACAAGCTATAACATATGACCTTGGTAATAGAGGTTGAGTTTTACTCTGCCAGATCATTGATTATTGAGGAGGTCACAGAGTGGGTGAATAAAATATTCACATGCATGTTGAATTTTTTTTCCCATGAGTGACGTCATTCATAGTAGTAGGAGGATGAATAGGAAACTGACAGTCAAGGACTAAATCAGAATCAGAAAAGGCATCAGCACTACAAAAACTAAATTGGAAGATGTCACTGACACAGGAAAATTCAGATGCATATGTATTTGTCTCTCTGGCTGATTAATTGGGGTGCCATCACAATTTCAAAGGGTATGTCCCCACTAAGTCCCAAAGTCACAGAATGTCTTTTGATAATAAGAGTTACAGTTACAGTATCTGTGTGTGAGTTCTGATTCAGTCATGCAGATACCAAAAAATAGCAACTAGTTATTCTATAGAACTTTGCAAAGAAGTTGAATCTTAATAAATTCCTCATATTTTTTCCTATTCATGACAGAAACAAAAAAGTTGACTTTGAAAGACTCCTACCAGCTCAGAAGTACAAGGACGAAGATTGTTGCTGCTGTGCCCTGCTAGCATCCATTCTAATTCTGTTTTTCAAATTCACAGAGAGTGAAGAAGTTTATCAAAGGCAGGTGCTGTCAATTTCATGTATCATCTTTGGGATTGTCATCGTGGGCATGCTCTGTGCAGCATTCTACTTCAAAAGCAAGTAAGACCATTTCTCTCAAGTATTACAAAGTTACTTGTCAGAGAAAGCACTTTGTCTTTCTTTAGGTTTTCGTCTCTGCTCCAAGGAGAGGGATCTTGTGCAAATGGGTCCGTCAACATGTGCAAGTGACTTATGACCTTTTGTAGACTGTGGTGAGGGTGTACAGGCATGTACATACATGTAAATGCGTGTGTGTACACAGTTTATGTCATGGACTATGATGCACACAGTGATCATTCCTCTCAGGGATCTTGAACATTATATGTTTTTTGCAACAATTAATTATGTACCTGTATTAAAGGCTTGGTATCTTTGGATCACATGGGGCACTGCTGTGGACCTAAACATGATCAAGCATTATCTAGCCTTTTCTGAAAAAAACATACAGAAAAAAAATCACGATTTTCCTTTCATACTGTTTTAACCTTATATTCATACAGATTTTGGCCAAATATGAAACATGTATACTAAAAAAATATATTTTGGTTCACCAGCTGGTATGCACATTTTAAATATGCCCTAAAATTCCCATTCCAAGAAACTAGACCTTATGTAGATGAAGGTGCTTACTGTTAACTAAAAAGTAGAATAAAAAAAAAAAAATATATATATATATAAATATACACACACACCTGTAGGTATGTATGTATGTGTGTATTTTTTACAAATGTAGCCTGATAGAGGTATTTCATTCATGGAAATGATGTAATCTGCACTTAAAACAAGAAATGCAGAGAAAACATTAGCCCCATGGTTTCTTGTGCCTTAAGAAGTTGGCACAGATTTTGTTCCTATAGCTTGTCTGAAATCCAAGCCACGGTGTAATTGCTTTTTGTTAGACCTATATTTTTTTACACATTTACTCTTCTAAAAATGGATCGGTTTTCAAAAATATACTTTATGATACCTGCTTGTATGTTGTTTATATTGATTTTTAAAGAGAACTGTGATTATGGTTTTCCAAAATAATGGAAACTCAGGCATGAATCCAGAATTAGTAACTACTATTTTTTTAATAAACAATTTCAGAATAGTTTTAGATATTCAGAATTACTGCAAAAATAGTACAGAGAGGTTCTGTAGACTCCAAATGCAAGCCTGCCATATTACTAATGTCTTACATAATTATGGTACATTTGTCATAATTAATGGAACAATACTGATGCAATACTACTAAATACAGTTCATATTTACAGATTTAACTAGTTTTTTACCTAATGTGTTTTTTTTAAATTCCTGGGCCCTATTCAGGATACCAAATTACATTAGCTGTCACATTTCCAAGGCAATTCTTGGCTGTGACAGTTGTAACTGTCAATTTTTGAGCACTTCCTCCTTGCCAGGCACACTAGGCTTTTTATGTGTTAGTTTCCATGTCCCACAGCAATCAGAGTCGTGCATTACTACCGCATTTTTCAAACAATATCAGAATTTATTTTAAAATATTATTTTTTCAAAGCCACAAAGTAGGAAATTATAGATGAGGTCTTTGAATCTCAGCAGTTCTAGTTTAAATTACCAGCTCCAAACCACTATACCACATTGGCTCACATAGTCCTCCTGCTAGATGGTTAAACTGCTCAGAGTGAGTTCCGAATTGCCCTCTCTGGTGCAGCCCTGGTACTTTACGTTTCCTAGGGAGGCATCTGGCATAATGGTCATGGTTTTACACTGGTTAGGCATACCTGGATTCAAATCTTTAGGCTGCCAATGACTTGCTGTGTGTTATTAGGCAAATTATATGATGTCTCTTAGCCTCAGTTTTCTTTGTGGTAAAATATGAACACACACAAAAAAATCCACCATATAGAATTTTGTTAAGGATTAAATGGGATAATATTGTAAAAGGCACAGCATAGTGTTTAAAAGAGTAAATACTCAATGCAATCTTGCTGTTGTTAACACCCGCTGGTTTTCCGCACCAGGACTAGGTACCTACAAAGTTAGGAGCCTGGACTGGAGCACAAGAGGGATAATCACAGCCAGCAGGGTGATAGAAGGGTCTCCTCACCAGGGCTACGGACGAGAAAGAAATTGTGCATTTAACAATAAGCAAATTACTATGAAGAAGCAGTTAATCACTTATTTTTAGAGTGTAATTTGTAGTTGTACCACATTTAAACGAAAGACTGATTATGGTAATCAAGAGAGCAGAGAACAGCTGGATCACTAGGGGCTTCCATCTTCAGGGCCGTCAATCTCTGACTCTCTGGGCAATAAGTGGGCTCTGAGACCCGCATCATCCCCTGGGACCCAGCGAGGGGTCAGAGTGTTTAATGGAAACACTGTTCATCGGCAGATTCATTGCGGAGGCTCAGAGGACTCAGCCCATGGCAGAGCACCAACTGGGATACTGTTGTCTTTCTGCCTGCCAACCTGGACACATTTTCATCTTTTAGAAAATCTATCAGTTAATACATGAATGTAAAAATAATAAAATAATAATAAAAATTGAAGCCTTTTCCAACTGGAGTTGTACTGTTCATCAGAGACCTAAAATGTGTATTTCCTTCTTCTAGTACGATTTTTAGGTTTGGTCTTTTTTTACTTTTCTTTGCTTGAGAGAAAGGCCATAACCCCACAAAGCGCCTAATTTATATTGCTAAAAGCAGTATAGTTTTTTTAATAACACCCTGGAACAAATTTATTTTATGAATTTCTGGATCTCTGGGTCCTTTCCCAAAACCTTGCGGAGAACACAGCAGTCAGACACTACCTTGGCCTCCCCTTACTCATAAAATAAGGTAGTTTATATGTACACACTTTTGTTGACTTCAGCTCGGAAGCCTCAAGTCTTTCAGGATTCTAAGTCTTATTTATCACTGGTCACTGGAATCCAACTAAACTCACTTGAACTTCCATTCGGTGTACTGAGATGTGAAGTTCCTGCCCAGAGAGAATTGAGACTTACCTCCAAGCTCACATCCTCTTGGTCATTTACGTTCTACTTCCCGTAATCCCTCAGATCCTGCCACTCTGACCCTTTCCCCATTCCGCTGTCACCTTGCCATGGCATGACTTCACTAGAAGGAATGTTACAGCAAATTGTACGTCTGAGGGAAGTGTGAAGGCAGGCAGCGTGATGAGGTAGAAGCGAGGAACACCTTGAATTTGGAGGATTTTCTGATGCAGTTAACTGAACCCACAACAGTTATAAAATACAAAGTGAAAGAAATTCTTTCCTTGTCACTCCCAATAAACTTCTGTGTTCTTATATATAGTTAATAGAACTATTAATGGAGCCTTTCAAGTCCAGCTAATATGGCTCACATGGCAACCATGAATTCTTCTAGGTTTTCTCTTTACTTTCAACTTATGTAGGTAAGAGGGATAAGGCTGGGTGTAGGAGTTCTTAGTAGACTTTGAAAACACATGATTCAGGTTTGAAACCAGATTTGGGATAGGAGAGATGTGCCAGGAGGCCGAACCTGGGACGGTGATTATAACAACTGGGAAAACAGAGGAAGATAAAGGAGAACTGGAGTTACCAGTAAAATATAGATACGGTAGCAGCCTGCCCCTGGCTATAGGTTCCAAAGTAAGAGATTTTAGATCTCAAGCAAAGCCTCCTAATGGCAGGCATTGAGGTACTCTGATACACTGCTGTGATCCTCCTTGGCCGTGGAAGTCTTGGTCCCAGAGTTGCCAGCAGACGGTTGTGAAGAGTCGCCTTTCTCAATCTCATGTCCTGTTCTGAGATTGCTCACTGCGAATGACATGTCAGTGTGGGGCTCTGAAGACCTGGACCTTTACCCCAGCTTGGGGTGCAATGTTATGCCAGCTTCAGAGCTCCCTGGGGGTTTGCCGAGGTCTTCGCTGAGCCTGCATCACATCCCAACTTCTCCCTCCGCCCAATCCTACTTCCTTCTCTACCCTTTGCTTTCACAATTGTAGATACCAAGAGCTCTCTCTAATAAAAACCCTGTATGCTAGCTCCATCTCAGGGTCTCTTCCCCAGGAACCCAATCTGCAACACTACAAATGAGGTCTACCAACATGTTTATGATGTCTTCTATTCCACAGCTTGCATCTCATTTCTTTCTAATGCATTGGGCCAGAGAAACTTGAAACTCAATGAACCGTACGGTTCCAACACTGATATTGCTGGGCTAGTAGAGTTCCAGTGTGCAATGCATGCATCTTGTCCTCCCCAGACCAACTGTTCTCATGAGAGAGTTAATGGTATTTCAGTCAGATGCTGCTCATTTCCTCAGTTCCTATTTGCTGGGGGAAGGGGGACAGAGCAACAAAGTGTGTGCTTGTGGGAGGAGAAGGATGGTTGAGGCAAGGGATGGAAGAGAGGGGGAGGCAGGTTCAGAAAGAAAAGACCACTTATCCTGGAATGTTAGTGAGTCAGTACTTGAGTGAGAAGAGGCTAAAGAGGAATGCAAATTATAAAAGGATTTAGGAAATGCCATCAGATATTTTCATGAGGAAAATTCCTTTAAAAGTTTATATTTCCAGCGCCCTGAATTGGATTATTGAAAAAGTAGTTAGTGTTTCTACCAGTTTAATCCTTAGGAGAGTAATTGAGTCCTTGCTCTGTGCCAGGTACCCTCTAAATGCTTCAGGATGATTTGCCCAGCTGGAACCAACTTACCATTGCCTTCATGAATGAATCCCTGATCGAATTTTGTGGCTGTGATGTGCTTCTTAAAATGCTGATACGATAGATTTATTTTTAACAATAGGCTACAGATTAGATTAGAAGGGAGTACATAGATTATTACAACTGGATTAAAGCAACTAAGAGTGCTAGGGATAAAAGTCCCCCAAATAATTGAAAAGATAAAAGAAATATTTGAACAAAAAGAGCTACACCACACTGGTGTTGTGAATTCAAAAGGGGTAATGATGCTCAAAGCTTCCAAATCTTGCAGCCAATGCTGGTGACTTGCTTGTGAAGATGCAATTAGTTCAATCTTTTCTTTTATCTTTGGGCCAATGTCCTAATTCTGCAGCATCCGCTCATAAGACAGAGCTTGCTGCGTGACGAAAAGGGAAAGAGATGAACACTTTGCGTGTGCTCCTGTGTGCGGTCACCACAGTGTCCAGGGAAGATGGTTCTTATGAACTCCATTTACAGATGAGGAAACTGAGGCTCAGTGACGTTTAGGAAATCATTAGGGTATCAAAACTAATGGATGGCAGACTGGGATTAAAATGCCAGTCCCTGTGATACCGGAGCCCATGCTCTGTAGGGTGGAAAAGCTCACTGCAGAAGACTATGCACGTACCCCATGAATGGCTTTATCCTTGACAGGCATTCTGGGGGGAAAGCAAAATTCAGGGGGAGAATTCTGCTGTGAAAATGGTCAGAATCAAAGTGGAGTCATTTGAGTTCAAAACCCTGACAAACAGTGCCAGGGAAGGCCATGAAGGAGGGTTCTTATGCACAAATGACTGACAACGAGAACTATCACAGCAGACTCTGCAAAAACCATAAGATTTCACAAAGGACATCACAACCTTACAGAAAAAAAGTGCTTCTGCAAGGATATCTGCTCAGCAACTGCCTGTCAGCCTTGCACTGCCGCCACCCTTGTTATTGATCCTTGGAGCCAGGGATGACTATCTCAAACCCGTTATGTAATCCTTCTTATTTTTCTTTTAAAAAGCTTTTTCTACCTCTCCTGGAATACACAC